TATCAGGTCAGTTGTAATGTTCCCTCTTTCATTTTTTATTTTGGTCATTTACATATTTTCTTTTGTTTGTCACTCTAGCTAAAGATCTGTCAATTTTATTGATCTTTTCAAAGAACCAACTTCTGGTTTTATTGATTCTCTCTATTGTTCTTCTGTTTTCAATTTTATTTATTTCTGCTTGATCTTTGTTATTTCTTTTCTTCTGGTAGGTTTAGGCTTAGTTTGCTCTTCTCTTTCTAGTTCCTGGGGTTGTCAAGTTAGACTATTGTTTGAGATCTTTCTTCCTGAAGAAAGTAATCAAAGTCACTAAATGGTATATATAGAAACTATTGAATTGGTGTATATTTTGCTGTGTATATTGTCAACAGCAACAACAAAATAAATAAAATTATATATATACATAAACCACACACAAAAAAATGTAAGTTAGGCTTTCGGGGTTTGTGGATAGATTTCCTGACAAAACTGGTTTTTATTTATAGTGGTCTGAGCTCATGGTACATGCTGTTTGTAATGTTTTAGAAAATTCTTAGAAAAGTGACCTTGCAAAAAATGGAATTTGTCTTTCCTCAGGTATATTATGAGTCTATAGAGTTAAACTAAGCATGATAATTTCATTATTGTTGTTGTGTGCCATTGAGTCAATTCCCACTCATAGTGATCCTAAATGACAAAGTAGAACTGCCCCATAGGGTTTCCTGGGCTGTGGTCTTTACAGGAGCTGATCACCAGCTGTTTTACCCCACAGAGATCCTGGTGAGTTCAAACCACCAATCTTTCAGTTAGCATCCGAGCACTTAACCATTGCACCACCAGGGCTCCTTGATAATTTCATTAGACATCTAAAATCTACTGCTGGCTCTTTCTTTTCTTTTCTTTTTTATGATTATAAAATATATATAACATAACATTTGTAATTCTAACCATTTTTAAATGTATAATTCAATAGCATTAATCATATTCACAATGTTGTGCAACCATCACCATTAATTATCTCCAACACTTTTTCATGACCTCAAACAGAAACTTTGTACCCATTCATCAATAACTCTCCATCCCTTCTCTCTCCAGTCCCTGATGTCCACTAATAACCTTTTGTCTCTATGCATTTGCCTATTCTTGATATTTCATATAAGTGTGATCATAAAATATTTGTCCCCTTGTATCTGGCTTATTCACATACCATAATGTTTTCAAGGTTCATCTATGTTGTAACATGTATCAGAACTTCATTTCTCTTTGTGACTGAATAATATTCCATTTTATGGGCATACCACATTTTGTTTATCCATTCATCTGTTGACAAACATTTCACTGGTTGCTACCTTTTGGCTTTTGTGTATTATGCTGCAATGAGCATTGGTGTACAAGTATCTATTTGAGTGTCTGCTTTTAATCCTTTTGGGCACATATATAGAATTGCTGGGTCATATGGTAATTTTTTGAGGAACCACTCTACTGTTTCCACAGTGCTGCACTGTTTTACATTCCCACCAGCAATGCATGAAGGTTCTAATTTCTCCACATCCTCACTTATTTCCATTTTTCTGATAATAGAAATCCTAGCAGGTGTGAAATGACATCTCATTGTGGTTTTGATTTGCATTTTCCTAATGACTAATGATGCTGAACATCTTTTCACGTGCTGATTGGCCATTTGTTTATCTTCTTTGGATAAATGTCTATTCAAGTCCTTTGTCCATTTTTAAATTGCGTTGTTTGTCTTTTTTGTTGTTGAATTGTAGGAGTGCTTATATATTCTGGATATTAAACCCTTACCAGATACATGGTTACCAAATCTTTTCTCCTATTCTCTAGGTTGTCTTTTCACTTTCTTGACAATGGCCTTGGGTGCACAAAAGTTTTTAATTTTGATGATGTCCAATTTATCTATTTTTTTCTTTTGTTGCTCATGCTTCGGGTGTCTTCCAGCCATTTCTTAAATGGACCTTGTACAAGAAAGGTAAATTGTTTCTAATAAATTGAGTAAACACTGAGTACAATGTCTAGACAACCATCTGATCCTTTAACTCTTCATAAATAGTGAACTGCTGCCACACGGTTGATTCTAACTCATGATGACCCCATGTGTTACAAAGCAGAACTGCTCTATAGGATTTTCTTGGCTGTAATCTTTATGGAAGTAGATCACCAGGCCTTTTTTCCAAGGTACTGCTGGGTAGGTCCGAACCACCAACCTTTAGGTTAGTAGTCAAGTATAAACCGTTTGTGCCACCCAGGAACCTCCTTCACAAATAGTAACGGCTATTTATTATGTTATCCAAATCTGTCCTGTGCCCAAACATAAACCTTTGTACATGCATTAAATATGCTTCTTCCTCAAGGTTTACAGTCAGCTAGAAAAACTTGCAAGAGTAAATGGTGCCCATAACAACAGTAGGATCCAAGAGAACTGACCTTAAACAGGTATATTTCTTATTTGATCTGCATAGCAGTTCTATGAGATGGCAAGGCAGGTATCATATAACCATTTTTCAGATGAGAACATTCAAGACATTGAGAAGAGGCTGCATAATTTCCTGGAGTCCAGTTTTCCAACGTTACTCTAAAGAAATCCATTCAAATCCTGCCTCTGAGTTCCGCATACTTTCTACACTAGCATTCTCTGAACCATGCTAATGTTATGTCACCTTTAAAAACATTTAATTTCCCTCTTGTCTCCAGTGAGAAGTTTAAATGTAAACAGAAAAGCAAAACCCACTTTTCCCTGTTGAGTTTACTTTTCCTCAACTTGAGAAGAGTTGGCATATATATTGAGTGGTTTGTTTTTTGTTGTGTTTTTTTTTTTTTAACTTTTATTACATAAAATTCCAATCATATACAAAAGTAGAGAGAAAAGCATAAGAATTCTCTTGTACCTATCACCCAAGTTCACCAGTTATCGACTCATGGCCAATCTTGTTTAATCTATAATCCTACCCACTCTTCACCTCTCATCTACTGGATTACTTTGAAGCAAATCTCAGATATATCATTTTATCGATAAATATTTCAATATGCATCTCCTTTTTAAAAACATAGCAAAATACCATTAAATACCTTAAACTGTTAAAAATTTCTTAATATCATCAACCATTTACTCAGAGTTTTACACCTTCCTTATTGTCTCAAATGTATTTTAATAGTTGGTTTATTCAAATCAGAAATCCAAATAAGATCCATATATTGCATTGGTTGATATGTCTCTTAAGTCTATTAGTTGTTAAGTTCCCTCTCCCTTTCTCTTTTTTGTCGCTTGTAATTTCTTAAAGACACCAGGTAACTTCTTATAGAGTTTCCCACATTCTGGATTTTGCTAAATTTATACTTGTGGTGTCATTTAGAATGTTCTTCTGTTTCCTGTAAATTGGTAGTTTGTCCTAAGGGATTGGATTCAGGTTTTCTTTTTTTTTTTCTCTTTTTCTTTATTATTTTGCAAGAATTCACCATAGGTGATGTTGTGTGCTTCTCTCAAGAGACAAGTAGTGTCTGATTGTCTCTCCTTTTTTTTTTTTACTTTAATACCTATTGACGATCATTGCCTAGATCCATTATTTTATTAAGGAGGTTATTAGATTTTAAAGAAAATTATTTTAGCCTCATAAACAGATAAAAGTTTTGTTTTTAAAACTTGTCTTTGTGTATGTGGCTATTGAAAATAACACTACAATGAATATTGATGTATATGTAAAAGTTCTCCTTTGGGCTTTGCTTTGAGTTCTTTCATGAAAGACAACCAAGAGTATTTAAACTCTCTCTGAGTAGTGGATAGAATTCCTGAAACATATCTTCTCTCAAGTGTGGCCCTCTGAATTATTGAAAAATTTATACTACGAAGAGTGTGACTGTTGGTCTAGGGATATTTAAATAGCATTTGTCTTTTCTCCAGTGATAAAATCAATAAAAAACTATCGCATTGGTGAGTAGCATCTGTGGCCTTAAAAGCTTTGGAGTGGCCATCTAAGATTAACTATTGGTCTATACTTCTCTGGAGCAAAAGAAAAAGAAGGAAACCACAGACTCAAAGAAGAAACCAGTCTATAGGACTAATAGCCCACATGAACCACCACGTCATCTACCCTGAGACCAGAAGAACTAGATGGTGCCCTGCTACCACTACCAACTGTTCTGACTAGGGACACAATAGATAGTCCTGGGTAGAATGGGAGAAAAATGTAGAACAAAACTCAAATTCCTAAAAAAACAAAAAGACCAGACTTACTCAGCTGGTAGACACTAGAGGAATCCCCGAGACTATTGCCCTGAGACACCCTTTAAACTTGGAACTGAAGCTACTCCCGGAGGTCACCTTTCAGCCAAGGAACAAATTGACTCATAAAATAAACAATATTACCCATGGGAGAAAAAAATAAAAGAGCAGATTAGACATAGAGAAGGAAGCAGAAATGGGGAAGATAGAGGCTATGCCACATGAAGATCACCAAGGAGCCAATAAACAGAAGCTGAGGAGACAAAGATCTTTCCCCAGAGCCAACAGAGAGAGAAGACTTGCCCTAGAACCTGCATCCTGATTTTGGACTTCTAGCCTCCTAACTGTGAGAAAATAAGTTTTTGTTTGTTAAAGCCAAAAAAAAAAAAAAAGAAAGAAAGAAAGAAAGAAAAAGAAAAAGCTATTGCCCTCAGATTCATGTTGGTAAAAACAAAACACCAAACCTGCCACCATGTTGCAGAGTAGAATTGCTGTATAGGATTTTCTTGGCTCTAATCTTTACAGAAGCAGATTGTCAAGCCTTTCTTCCATGGCACTGCTGAGTAGGTTCGAACCACCAACCTTTAGGTTAGTAGTTGAGTGCAAACTGTTTATGTTACTCAGGGACGTTTTCATGGTGGTACCAGGGACCAAAAAAGACAAATGCTACTTTAAATACCCCTAGGCTAACAGTCACACTCTTCGTAGTATAACAATTTGCTTACCACTGTTTTTGTTAAATAAACGAAATACGTTAAGATCTATTTCTGCCCCCCTCTACCAAAACTAGGATTATTGGCTATCTCTTCTGTTCAAGAAACTGGTGGGCACCAATGTGTTAATGGCAAGTGTGAAAGGTCCAGACAGAAACAAACTTCGAGTATACCTTCATTGCACAAACATCAATCAGTAAGTATGAAAAGCACCCTTTACCAGTGAATTTACCAATTATGTGCTTAATTGGTAAGCAGGTAACTTCCTATTCTAACATCCTGTTGTCATATATCTGTATAGTAGGTATAAGATGTGTCAGTGGTTTTTTTTTTTTCATATTCATAATGATACAGTGCCAGAGTCTAACTAAAAACACGTAGCTTAAATATAGGCATTTACACTCCAGCAAAGATTTGTAAAATAGTTTTAATTGTCATAATCTATAACGGATACATATATTGGATTTAAATAAAGCATAGTACTAATGTAAGAAAATGTAACTATTTTTATATAGCTGATTAATTCATTGAATGACTATTAATGAATATAAATATTGATTCATATGAGTGAATAAGTATAGGAATATATTTATCCTCTTGTATCATACTTGATAACTTATTAAAGAAGAAGAACGACAACAGTAACCTTATTTTCAAAAAATTCAACCACAATTTCTGCAGTTGAGAGGCCATAGAGGTTTCTGTGAGCTTGTGGTCTGGCCTCAGGTAGCAAAAAGTGTTCCTAAATCTCAGAAGTTTTCCTGCAAAACATCAGTAGATCTAACTTTTTTGAGTTTTTCAAGTATTTTTTAAAAGGCTAGAAAAAGCCCCTGTTCATGTAGTCTGTAATTTGAATTCACAGGAACCCACAAAATACTCTTTTTATTACTTAGTCTTCCTACATTTGAAATAGAGCTTCAGACTGGTTCAGTCATGGCCAGCGAAGCAAAACCGAAACAGACCTGAGTGTTTAAAATTTGGGTGATCCAGAACAATAACCAGAATGGGAAAAATTACGGGTTGAAGCCCTGGAATGGGAGACTTGGAAGAGGCATAGTGAGCCCTTTCAAGAGCCTGATGCATGAGATTGGATTATTGGCTGGACTGTGGAGAGTGACACACATTCATAGCAGCGCAGTTGGCTGCCATCTTGAAGCGGGGCACCACTGTTTCCGACTCTGCCCAAAATCCAATGGGGAGAGATTTGGTTACTATGCAACGTGTACACTGCCCTTGTTTTCTAAGAGGAAGATTAAGTTTCCAACAGGGCTTCCACCCGTAATTTTTCCTTTTCCAGTTATCTTTCTGGTTCACCCAAAATTTGAAAATTCAGGTCTGTTCCAGTTTTGTTTCCTCAGCCATGACTGAACCAAGAAGAGCTAGTTCGGAGGCCTGGTTTGAATATCCAAGGGCTAATTGACTTACTAGCAACTCAGCCTGGCAAAGCAGAAGAGATCAAAGAGTGCACTAGCCCTGAAAGTGGTACTGTGAAGAACAATATTTTTTATCATGATTTTTCAAAATAAGACCACACCAGTGGTCTAATAGTATCATGAACGGGAAGACACTTAAAAGGGTTCATCATCATTATGGATATTAATATCCACAATCATATTTGTAATTGAGTTTTTAATTGCTTAAATTAGATAAATATTTTTATTACGTTAATCTATTTGCTTTTAGCCCAAGGTATAAAGAAGGAGATTTAACTCTGTATGCCTTAAATCTACATAATGTCACCATGAGCTTACAGTTACCATATCATTTATTTGACAAACAAGTGGATAAATACCTCGTAAAACCTTCAGGTCCTGATGGATTACTTTCCAAGTGAGTATTCTTCCTTGTTGATTTCTAACTTTCCTCAAATTTTTTGGAGTTTACAATATTGATGGACAGTATTGATAAGCAACACAAAAAAAAGTCAACTATTCCAAGTTCTAACTATTCTAATACTCAGGAAGTTTATGTACGGATACTTGTTAATGCAGGTATAACTCACTTTAAGGGTCCAAAGCAGAAAGATATGAACACAAACTAGCAGTTACCTTAGGGAATATTTTGCATTTCAGAACAAGTTGGTATATTAAGATCCGCTCAATTTGCTCTGAAAAGACTTACAATTCTTGGTAACACAGTCACTAAAGTAAAGCATACTTATATATAATTGCTATTAAGGGTGTGTGGGTTAGTGTAAAATATCATACCACATGCTCTGGGTGTAATTCTCTTGCAATGTTAAGGTAATTTTTTTATTGGTTAGATAAAGAAAAATGGCCAGAAATGTGCCATCTAGGTGAGTTATTTGAAACTGATTCTAATAGATTTTGGTTTTTAAAAATAGATCACTGAACATATCTTATAAAAGCCCTTATTCAACAGAGCCCCAAAGAATGACTATGAGTCTTAATGACTTACGTACACCAACATTGTAACATTTCTGTCCAATGTGTGTTCGAAGGTGCTCTTTTCATCATGACTACTCTCACACTGGAGTATAGAAATTAAGAGTTTACAAAATTCTCACCATCTCCTGCCCTCCCCCCGAATCATTGCAAATGCTATGTTAGTGATGTTTTCTGTGACAATTAGCATCAGGACCTGAAAAAATACCATCAGTATTCTTTTTCCAAAATCCTACCCCACAATAGACAAGCAGTATTAACATTGGATATGGCTCCTTTATTTATTTATTTTTCCTGTAAGTATAATCTTACAACCTTTAGTGGAAAAAAGAAAAGAAAAGAAAGAAAAAGAAACAAAGAAAAGCCCCACACGTTTTCCCAAGTGTCTTTTCACACATAGTCCTTGTAGACATTTTTAACAGGCTAGATATTTTATAAAATGAATATACCAGGGTTTACTTAACCGCATTCCTACTGTTTATACCTTTTTTTTTTCTGTTGTAAATAATGCATCTTTGGGTAACAGATACTTTTCTCTATTTAGGTTCTAACCTTTTTAAAGTGGGTTATTTTTGCTTGATGCTAATAAGGAAAAATATTTCTGAAGTAATTGAATAATAGTTGTAGAGTTGAAAGTGTCTTCAGAGGTCTTTTTAATCCAGCCACCCATCTAAGGCCTGCTGGCTCTGTATGATCCCTCCTCTGTTGGAGCTCATGATCTCTCATGATGGCTGTTCTCAATGAGAGGTTAAAGTGAGCCTCTCTGTGCCTTTCACCTGCTGGTCTTAGTTCTACTGTATAGAGCAGAGGTTGAAAACTATACCTCATGCCTGTAGACGAGTCAGTTTGTTTTTAGGGGCCCCCACCATTTTTTTTTTTTTTTCAGTAGCAAGGGTTGGCATGCACTCTGTATTAATTTTCATTCTTAATTGGTAATCAACAATTAAAACTTGACAACTAAAATATCTGTATTTCTACATTTTCTTTTTTAAAAAAATGGACACTCTGGGAGGGCAGAGAAAAGGGGAACTCATTACTTAGGGGTACTGAGCTGCTTCTGTTAACAGTGATACAAAAATTTGGAAATGGATAATGGTGAAGGTTGAACAACATGATAAACATAATTGATGTCACTGAATTGTACATGTGAAGCATGCTGAAATAGCAATGTTTTGTTATATATATTTACCACAATAATTAAAAATTAAAAATGATCTATTTTGGTTTAGCATAAGAGGGACATTACATGTGCCTTATAAGTGCAAATAACCAATATTAAGTCTGATTCATGTTGTATCTCTCACTCCTTGCACATTGCCCAACAGTTTACACATTCAACAAATGTTTGTTGAATGAATGAATGAATAAACCAATCAATGAGATGTTATAGCTTAAAAAAAAAAAGGGATACTCTGGCAACTCTGGTCTTCCTTTCCTAATTAGTTGGGGTTAAATTGGGGTCATTTAATTTAGACAGGTCACATGCTTTCTAGTTCTCCACAGTCCCCACCTGACCCTGTTAGTTTTATGCCTGTCCTACTGCATTTTCATATAAATTTTTTTGGCCCTTGTGGGCATTTCAGTTTGCTACCCCTAATCTGGAGCAATGCTGAGAACCTCATTTTCTCCAGGATAACTCTTAAATATTTGAGGGACATTTGGGTTATCTCCATCCAGGCTAAATATGCTCAACTTCTTCAACGATTTCTTTGCTGTAGTTATAAGATTCTGCTGCATTCTGATCACACATTTCATGCTTTAATCACTGGAAAATTGGTGAAATTATGGATAATGTTTTATTCCCCTAAATTCTCTTTGATGAATATATATTACCTATAATCTTCTCTTTGTAAAATGTTGCAAAGAGTATCCCGTATAAATTCGATGTGTCTGCACACTTGCTTTTACTAATGACCTCTGAGAATTAAACAATGGTCTTTAAAAAATTATTTTTTATGTGAACAACTTACAAAGTGCTTATAGAGAGCCCTAAATATTGTTTAATAAGTATTTGAATTAATATATTTTATATTTATCTCAGATAAATTTGCCCAGCATCTAGCTTTTGTTGCATCGGTTGTTCACTAATTCCTTCCAGCTTTATGTCATCTGAAACTTGAGAAGCATTCTTATGGTTCTTTATCATCATGTTACTGACTTCAAAACACGCGACAAGATACTACCCTCAATAAAGCCTCACCCTCATCACCCAGCCGGCTGCGGAAATAATTAGCTCAGTATATTTATATAATATAGCATCCTTCAGTTATACGCAAGGAACCCTGGTGATGCAGTGGCTAAGCACTCGGATGCTAAGGTTGGTGGTTCAAACCCACTAGCTGCTCTGCAGGAGAAAGATACAATGTCTGTGTCTGTAGATTTACAGCCTTAAACACCCTATGGGGCAGTTCTCCCCTGTCCTGTAGGATTGCTGTGAGTTGGATTCACTCGATGGCAATGGGTTTCATTTGGTTTCGTTTAGTTATATGTAGGAGACCCTGGGTGGCGCAAATGGTTAAGTGCTGGACTACTATCTGAAAGGTTGATGGTTCAAACCCACCCAGAGGTATCTTGGAAGTAAGGCCTGGTAATCTGCTTCCAAAAGGTCACAGCCTTGAAAACCCTGTGAAGTGTTTCTGCTCTGCGCACACGGGGTCGCCATGAGTTGTAATCAACTCTACAGCAACTAACGTGTTATATGTACAAGTAATTAGGAGCCCTGGTGGTACTGTGGTTAAGAGCTTGGCTACCAACCAGAAGGTTGGCGGTTCAAATCCACCATCCGATCCTTGGAAACCCAATGGGGCAGTTCTACTCTGTCCTAAAAGGTCGCTATGAGTCAGAATCAACTCGACGGCAATGGTTTTTGTTTTTTGTTTTTGTTTTTTGGATAAGTGATCAAAGCAGTATAACCTGATGACATTAATATCTTGCCTATGTTTTGTTATCTTACGCACAACAGTACTGATTCACAGTGATCAGCAAAATAACCTCTCTAAATGCATTTCTGAAACGTTTATGTATACTTTTGCAAAAGGTTTTTAATTTCATGTGTAACAGACTCTTAACCACTACCATCATTTAGAGATGTTTTCAAGGCCTATTCTTGCTTGTGGTTTCCTGATGATGGTTATGGCATTTCCTCCCCCACTGCATCTAAAAATTGATGTCATATAGGTGCGAAAACCCAAAAAAATGGGGCATGTGGACTGAGTACAACTGCAATACAGGCTTGTTAGCCTCTGGCACAGTCATGGGTATGTTGTCGGCACGTTTGAAGTTACAGAACCTGCGGCTCAGCAGCCAACCAAGTTTCAATGGAAACCAGTTTTTCCGCTGACTGATACTTAGCAGGGACAGCGTGTGAGAGGCTTTTAAAAGTGAAAACTTTAGAATAATGCTAAGTAGGAAACGGCCAAATGTCTAATAACAGAGGATTAAGTAAACAAACTAATACTCTCACAATGAAATCCTGTGGAGCCATTAAAATGATGTATCAGATGAATGCTTAATGGTGTGGGAAAGTATTAGGATGTGTTGAGTGGAAGAAGAATTAAGTTTTAAGGGAATATTACAGTATACTCATTTTTGTTTAAATAAAAATGTCTGTGTTTAGAACATAGAACAGAGATGGATATACACCAAATTATTAAAAATTTATTTAAATGATTTAATAGATTACCTTTGTTATATTTATTTACCTAAATAATAATAATGACAGATAATACTTTTACAGTGCTTACTGTGTGCAAGACACTGTTATAAGTGTTCTATATATATTACATGTATTACATCTATGACACACATATAACTCTGTTATTAAGTATATCCTCTAAATTTTCAACAATAAAAGAGTGCTAGCTTTAATATAAAAAGCATTTGAGAAAAGGATAGTAGCGATATAAGCATTGTTTATAATTATGGATTTATTAGTAGAGCTAAAAGCAGACTACTGTTTTTTATAAGCTCTTGTTTATATTGGATTTATTGCTGAGAGCATGTGTTAATTTGATTTGAATAATAATAAGTACACATGAGAAATAACACTTGTAGAACAAAATTCTAACTCACAAAAAAAGACCAGACTTACTGGCCTGACAGAGACTGGAGAAACCCTGAGAGTATGGCCCCTGGGCACACTTTTAGCTCCGTAATAAAGTCACTCCTCAGGTTAACCCTTCAGCCAAAGATTAGACAGGCCCATAAAACAAAACAAGACTAAAGGGGCACACCAGCCCAGGGGCAAGGACTAGAAGGCAGGAGGGGACAGGAAAGCTGGTAATAGGGAACCCAAGGTTGAGAAGGGGAGAGTGTTGACAAGTTGTGGGGTTGGTAACCAATGTCACAAAACAATATGTGTACTAATTGTTTAATGAGAAGCTAGTTTGTTCTGTAAACCTTCAACTAAAGTACAATAAAAAAGAAAGAAAGAAAGAATATGGCAAGTTCAAGAAACACAGAAAAGGCAGCTGTGGCTGAAGCCTGGAGAAAAAAAAAGAAATAACACTTGTCATTAACAAGTTTTTCTTTTTTTCATTTTTTGGCTCAACTTTGAATTTGAATTCCAACAGCAAAATACAAAGAAAACAAATTTTTTGGAATCTGTGGTTTAGCCAAACAAAATTTTTTTTTTTGTTTTACTGCAGCAATATACATTCTACCTTAATATCTTAACAGCATAAAAAAGTGAATGCACACCTTCTGGAGGGGTTTAGAAGGTTTATGGTCATAGTTAGAAGTGGGAAATTTCATTAACTATCATTTTTTATGTTACATTAGTGAATTTTTACAGACCATTATATGTACATACATACGTGTGTGCGCATGCACGTGTGTATCCTTGTTTGCTTTATTTCAAAATGTTTTCAATTATTTACTATCAAGTAAAATTGCAACAACTCTAGAAGTTATGCCATGTTTATCTTTTTATACCTCCATCATATCGACTACTATAGATTGTGTATGTTCCATTTTTCTGTAAAGGACCAGATAATAAATATTTTAGGCTTTGCAGGCTATAAGCGTCTCTGTTATAACTACTCAACTCTATCCAACCCATTAAACCTGTTGCCATCTAGCCGATTCCGACTCACAGCAAGCCTACAGGACAGAATAGAACTGCCCCATAGTGTTTCCAAGGAGCAGCTGCTGGAGTTGAACTGCTGACCTTTTGGTTAGCAGCCAAATGCTTAACCACTGTGCCACGAGGGCCCCTTCAACTCTACCACTACAGCTTAAAGATCACTAGGTTAAACACCTAACAGATGAAACATAAAAATAAAAATTATGATATAATATAGACTGTCACAAAAAAAATTGGGGGCCTAAAAAAAAAAATCTCATGACTTTTGTAGGGTAGGTGGAACATACCCAACTTGGCTAACTTGGGTGTATCTTTCCCCTTGGCAGATCTGTTCAACTCAATGGTCAAATTCTGAAGATGGTGGATGATGAAACCCTGCCAGCTTTGATGGAAAAACCCCTCCGCCCAGGAAGTTCGCTGGGTTTGCCAGCTTTTTCATATGGGTTTTTTGTGATAAGAAATGCCAAAGTTGCTGCTTGCATCTGAAAATGAAAGGCGCTAACACTAGCCCTGAGATGAAAGTTTTCAAGCTTATTGACACGAGTACCTAAAGCAAAACTCAAGCTCTAGGAAGGCAAGAAGATACATTACAAATCAACTTGTGGGAGCTTCAGAAACATTGGGACATTCTCAGTGCCAAATTTAGTACAGTTTTTTGGTCTCTCTCTAAGTAGACTACTGCTAATAATAATAGCTAATAATCCCTTGTGCCAAACACTATGCTTAGCACTGTGCATGCACCATTTTTATGTAAGTTATTAAAAATATGTATGAACGCTCCCAGTATGGCCAGGAGGCAGATAAGTGAAGGATATATTATTAGATTTAAGAAAGTGCTTAGTCGTTTTTATTTTTGAAAACAGTTGTTAGAAGGTTGTTGCATTCTTTCCTGCATACGTTGTCTCTTTGGGATCCCGCTGGAAAAAGTTTATTGCCACAATCTTCAAAATGGTTATGAAAGTGGGACTATCTCTTTGCACCTAGACAGAGAGCTAGAATTGAGCTGCTGCTTCTCTTCTCTGTTCCGTTTGTCTTTGTCAGCAATAGTAAGTGAGAGGACAGATGGTTAGATGCAAGAGTATAAAAAATGATTAATGAAAATTCAGAAGAAAGGGATTATGTAAACTTCAAATGAAATAAAAAAAAGAAGACTGTAAACGAAATGGGTTTACCAATAGGAGGAAATTGATAAAACATTCAATGTAAACCATCTACCAACGTTTACTTTAAATCTACCTTTGATTCTCATTTTAGTTGGGAAGCATTTGGCTGTAAGTAATAGAAAACCCTAATCTGAAATGGCTTAAATAATGAGGACATTTATAATTCCACATAACCAAAAGTTCAAGTAGAGTGGGCTTCAGTAGGTCAGTATGCCTCAAAAGACCCAAGTTCCTTCCATCCCTCTGCTATGCCATCTTTAGAGTTGGCTTCATTCTCGGGCTGGTAGTATGATGGCAGCTATAGCTGTTCCAAGGACCAGTTCACACTTGGCGGCAGCTAGAGGAAGAAGATGGACAATTTTTTCTGGGTCTCCTTCATAGACTTGAAGAAGCCTTTTTCAGAGGCTTTCCCATATCTTCTCATGTCTTATTGGTCAGGAATGAGTTGCATGGACACCCCTCTCCCCACCCCCCCCAATTATTGAGATTCCTATAATTGTCTCAGAGTCATCCTTTGGAGAAGTGTGGATGATGTTGGTCATCTACAGCGCTGACCACTACATTTCTGTGCTTTTTATCGGTGATAGAATGTATTATTTTCCCCTTTATCGTAATTTTTAGAAATATAGTCCTCTTTTTATATTTATGCTTGCTATGAATATTGTCTCAATTAAATTTAAGTATATTTATAAGGAGCTAAAGTTGGAACTTATAGTTTGGATGCTTCGATACCCTTATATTTTATGTGTAAGTGGTTTTATATTTTCACATTTGAAATAAAGTAACTTTAGATTGCATGATTATTCTTTTAATAAAACTTAAGCCTCCAGATTCCTACATTTGGAGGCCTTGTTTTCCTTCACCTCTTTGTTTACACCTCCTACATTTGTTTGTTCTCCTCAACACTGACAGTTGACGTAGAGGAAAAAAGAACAGGCACCAACATAATTTCTTACTTCATCATGTACATTCAATCCTGATCTAAGTCTCATCCTATCAGTTTCTCTCTTTCCTGTCCCCTCTGCCATTTAATAAATTCAAGGCCTAATTTCTCACTTGTATTCTTATTCACTCTCCTAATTATTCATCCTGACTGTGCTGACAGTTTTTAAAATGGCTCCCTATTTTTTTTTTAACATTTTATTGTGCTTTAGGTGAAGGTTTACACAGCAAATTAGTTTTCCATTCAACAATTCATACACAAATTGTTCCATGACATTGGTTGCAATCCCCACAATGTGTCAGCACTCTCCCACTTCCACCCTGGCTTCCTGTTTCCATCCGTCCAGCTCCCCTGCCCCTCTTTGCCTTCTCATCTTTGCTTTTGGGCAAATGTTGCCCATTTGGTCTCATACAGTTGACTGTTTGGAGAAGCACATTCCTCACAGGTGTTATTGTTTATTTTATAGGCCTATCTATTATTTGGTTGAAAGGTGACCTCTGAGACTGGCTTTAGTTCCAGATTCAAAGGTGCCTTAGGGCCATACTCTCGGGGATTCCTCTAGTCTATCATTTTAGTTAGTATGGTCTTTTTTATAAATTTGAGTTTTGTACTACATTTTTCTCTCATTGTAACCAGGACCTTCTTTCGATTGTGTCCCTGGTCAGAGCAATCTGTAGTGGTAGCTGGGCATCATCTAGTTCTTCTGGTCTCAGGCTAGAGAGGAGGCTATGGTTCATGTGGGCCATTAGTCTTTTGGACTAATTGCTTCCTTGGGCCTTTGGTTTCCTTCACTCTTCTTTGCTCCAGATGGGAAGAGATCAATAGTTGTATCTTAGATGTCCCTATTTCATACAGGCACATAATGTTCTCCGTAACCTGGCACTGACCTATTTCTTCAGCCTTAGATCTTGTCACTCCCTCCATGAGCTCTCTTCTCCAACCACAGATCAGCCGAGAAGTCTGAACACACGTGCTCTTCTGCCTTTTGCTCCTGTGTCTGTTGTGCTGTTCCCTCTGCTCTCTGCCTGGACTATCCTTCTAACTGTCCTCTCTATGTGGCAAACTTTCAGACCCAGCTCAAATATCAGGTGTTTTGTTTGTTTTGTTTTTTATATGAATTCTTTTTTGTTGTTTTTTTATTGTTGTAAATATATATGTAACAAAATATTTGCCATTTCAACATTCTTCGCATACACAATTCTGTGACATTAATTATGTTTATCATGTTGTTCAAAACTATTCTTTGTTCCCACAGCACTTTGTACATTTACTATGGCACTTATGATGCATTTTAATTACATACATAAATCTTTCTCACTTGACTCTAAGCTTATAAGAAGCAGAAGCTATATCTTATTCATTTTTGTATGCCTTGCGCTTAGCATGTTATCTGGCACACAGTAGCCACTTAAATATTTCCTTAATGACATAAAAAAGTATTCAAATTTCAAACTAGTTTAAGTATTTTGATTCTGAGTATATAAAAAAATTTAATGATAATTCAAACCAGGGCTGTGAACTGGTTTGTTCTGGTTCAAACCTCTGCTAAGAATTTGCATTTCCACCCCAGATATACTGAATCAGAATCTACATTTTAACAAGATTCCCCAGGTGATTCTTATGTATAATAAAATTTGAGAACCACTGCTCTCCTACTGGTTCTCAGAACTGGTCCCTAACCAGTAGAATTAGCATCGCCTGGGAACTTGTTAGAAATGAAATTCTCAGCAGGGGTTCGAACTGGAACAAACTGGTTCAAAGCACTGATTCAAACTTTAAAAAGTATTGTCTACTACTTTTCAAAATCTTTAAAAATATCATTAGTGGTTGAAATGGCAAATATTTTGATACGTATTTCACCATAATAAAAACTCTTTGTTTACCAGTTTTAGTACTGTATTTGCGCTGACTTGTTAGGGACCACGTTAACCTCTCTATGCCTCAATTTTTTTCCAGCAATAAAATGGAGGGTTTAATCTAAGGTAGAAAGACCAAAAATAAATAAATATACATAAAAAAAACCCAAACCCATTGTCGTCTAGTTGATTCTGACTCATAGCAACCCTATAGGACAGAGTAGAACTGCCCCATAGGGTTTTCAAGGAGCGGCTGGTGGATTCAAACTGCTAGCCTTTTGGTTAGCAGGCAAGATCTTAACCACTGTGCCACCAGGGCTCTGGAAATACAGGTATAAGTATATTAAAAAAAAAAACCCATTGCTGTGAGTTCCGACTCATAGCAACCCTATAGAATAGGGTAGAACTGCTCCATAGGGTTTCCAAGGAGCGGCTGGTGGATTCAAACTGCTGACCTTTTGCTTAGCAGCTGTAGCTCTTAACCACTGTGCCACCAGGGTGGATTCGAACTGCCAACCTTTTCGTTAGCAGCCAAGCTCTTAACCACTGCACCACCAGGGCCCTGTGGTATAGGTATAGATACGTATAAAACTTGTTGCTGTCCAGTTGATTCCAACTCATGGCAACCCCATACCTTACTGAGTAGAATAGCTCCATAGGGTTTTCTTAGCTGTAATCTTTACAGAAGCAGATCACCAGGCCTTTCTTCACGGCTTCACTGGTTGGGTTTGAACTGTCAGCTTTAGGTTTGTAGTTGAGCACTGAGCACAAACCGTTTGCACCATCCAGGGATATATATATAGAGAGAGTGTATATCATTAGTTTTATATCTATATGTATCTCATTAGTAAGCTTTTACTAATGAGAGATGGTTATGTGCAGAAAGGAGAGCTCTCAGTTATGCATTAATGTTAAATGTATTAATATTAGGGTTTTCTTAAACTTCCTTAGAGTAAGCTCTTACTTAATCAACTACATTTATTTTCTGTAACTCATTATATTAGCTCAAAATTCTTTGTCGTTTAGTGTCTTTGGTCCTAGTGGTTCACTTCATCTCCATGATAATGGGAATTTCCAAATCTTGTAAACTTGTATGTTGAAGACTTATCAGTTCTGTAATTGGACTCATTTTCTTTTTCTTTCTTTTTTTAATATTCTGATGCATATCATCAACCTACCTGAAGTTCAAAAAATCTTCAGATTATCCTTCTAACCAGAATTTTGATTACCAACACAACTAACATAAATGCCCATGTGTTTTGTCTGACAATGCCAAAGCAAAATAAATAAGACTAAAATTAAATTATAACGGAGTGAATAACCAGTTTTCAACTATAGATGTCTTTAGTAATCTTTTAAAAAATGTTGCCAATGATGCATAAACTGTGTCTTAGTTATCTGGTGCTGCTGTAACAGAATTACCACAAGTGGATGGCTTTAGCAAAGAGAAATTTATTCTCTCACAGTCTAGAGGCTAGAAGTCTGAACTCAGGGTGCCAGCTCCAGGGAAAGCTTTCTCTCTCTGTCAGTTCTGGAAAAAGGTCCTTATCATCAGTCTTCCCCTGCTCTCAGAGCTTCTCAGCGCAGGGACCCCAGGTCCAAATGATGCACTCTGTTCTTGGCTCTGCTTTCTTGGTGGTAGGAGGTTTCCCTGTCTCTCTGTTGCTTCTCTCTTTTGTATCTTAAAACAGATTGACTCAAGATACAACCTAATCTTGTAGATTGAATCCTGCCTCATTAACATCATAGATGTAGGATTTATATAACACGTAGGAAAATCACATCAGATGACAAAATGATGGACAATCACACTATACTGGGAAACATGGCCTAGCCAAGTTGACACACATTTTTGGGGGACAGAATTCAATCCATAACAGAACGCTTCATGTGTTTTATGCCTTAGCACAACATAGTGTGAAGATTTCCATATTCACTCCACCTCTAGGTCAGAGTTAATATTTTTTCTTTCTTTCAAGGATAAAATATTCCTGTCTTGTTCTTTTCCAATTTATACCATTCTCAATTTTACAGATTGATGGATTGGAAAATCCTGGAGCAATTCAGATAATTAAATATTTAAAAGAATGTTTTTAGAGTCTTCTTTTTTATTGTCATTAAATGCTATGGATGTTTATGATACCTTTGATCTCAGTTAAATTTCCTCTTTACTTATTTTCACACATTTGATAAAAGTCCACCTGTTTTTGACTTGGTTTTAGGTAGCTTTTTTACATACAACTCATATATTTATTCAAATTTCCATAGACCTTTCAAAGGAGAATAACAAATCTAGTATATCTGATTCTGCAACACTTCAAATGTAGTAAGTCAGACTTGCAAATTTAACAGAATCTTCCTAAATGCATTAAAAAACTCTTATAAATCTAATAAACCACATAAAATTTAGTAGATCAAGTTCCCTAATAAGTTAAACATCTTAAAAAACAAACATTGATGGCAAAACCTATATAAATACAACTTGTACAAGAATATAATTTCTTCATTCCAAAGTTACAAATCTACTCCCCTAACCAGAGTTAGCAGAAGTATGAACTCAAGTCCACTACACTGACCAAGGTAACAGATTCCAGTTTTTGATTAGAGAGTCTGGAAACAGGATATAGAACTACTAGTGGCCTGGTGGAGCAATAGTTAAGTGTTCAACAGCTAACTGAAACCCACCCAGGGGCTGCAGGAGAAAGACCTGGCGATACACTTCTGTAAAGATTACAGGCTAGGAAACCTTATGGGGCAGTTCTACTCTGTCACATGGGGTCACTGTGAGTGTCAAAACTGACTCCATGTCACCTAACAATCTAACAATTGTCTATTAAGTTGAAGCCTTCCTTCAAATTCTAATTCTAATGCTTAGGGGTCAGAGTTGGGGTTCTCCCAAAGCAAAGCCTGAGACAAGGACTTGGGGTCAGGTAGTTTATCTGGGAAGTAATCCCAAGAAGCAGGAGCGAGAGATCAGACAGAGTGAGACAGAGATGGAAAAGCCAATAGTAGGATGTGTTATTGAGTTTGCTGCTACAGGCATTGAGGGCTCAGTTCTACCAC